AGAATGAGTTCCAGGATGGCCAAGACTGTTATACAGAGAGACCCTACCTCGAAAAAATCAAAACAAAACAAAGCGCTGTCTTGGCTGTCAGATCCACTGTCATGCTTTCATGCTATCAGTATGTTGTTACAATTGTTCTATTTTATCAAAGATGGGTGGTGTTACTCTCTCACTGTGCCTAATACATAAACTAGTGAGAGACCAGGCGTTGGACAGACGACCCGGTAGGCAGACAGAGAGGGAGAGGGGCCATGCTAGGCAATGCTGTGGCTAGATAATAAAAGTGATGAATTCCTAAGATGGCCGGCTTCTTCCTAGACCTCCCGACTTGAGACAAAAGCCTGGCAGCTTAAAGCAAGGCCTGCAGGGCTTTTGTCCCCAACCAGCTGGGCCCCTGCTGATGGACTATCTCAACAAGTTCGGGTGTGTCACACGACAATTGCCGGCCAGTCAATCATCCAGTCTCCATGCCGACCAACCTGAATTAGGGGAGGAAAACTCTTCAGAGACGTTTAACTTCCCAGCCCCCCAAAGAGCTGGATTTTTTGGCTCTCTGGGTCCCCATCTGCTTTGCAGAGGGTCTTTTCCCCCTGTGGCACGTGTGTGTTTCCTCACCCCCAGCAAACACCTCTCTTCAACTGCTGATTCTGTCTGCAGCATCTGAGATTTCTCCACTGTGCTTGAGAATTTTCCCACCTTTGAATTCTTTAGCGGACAAAGAAAGCAAACCAGATCAAGACCCCTAGACTGTATCACTGTCAGAGGAATGTGTAGGGGGAAAGCACAGTAGACAAGAGTTTAGTACTGTCAAATTTCCAGACGCCCACCGGGACTGAAATGTGTCCTATGCTGTGCTCTCTCTGGGGCAGCTCTGTAGCCATCCAGGCTTAAGGAGTGTCTGTCACTCAAGGGAAAAGGGGAAGCAGTCAATTCTGCAGGCAATGAGCCTAGATGGCCACCAGGGGGCAATGAAGGACCAAACTGGAACTGTGGCTAGGCCTCTGGACTAGGAAGACAGGAAATGGACATCAGCCAGGAAGGATGACCCAGGAAAAAGCTCTCCCGAGGTTCCAAAGACTGAGAATACAGGACAGAAGGCTGCCCAGAGTCAATCCTCTCCAAAGTCTCACTCCTGTGGATATGCCTCAATCCTCTCGGAGAGACCTGGGACCTTTCCATGAACGCTGCTGCCGAAGTAAGGGTCTGCCCTATATGCATTTCACCCCGGCACACACCCCAGCCAGCAGCACAGGGAAGGAATAGCTCACATTTCAGGGGCCTGGAAGTTTAAGAAAGACACCCACAGCCAAGGCACCCACGGGTCCAGTCAAGCTTGGCTCCACTAGCCTCTAATGCGAAACAAAGTCCAACCCTCCCCACAGCTCCAGGGAAGCCTGACAGACAGGCCCTGCCTCCATTCTAGCTGTGAAGCCCTGCTCGGAGCTGACAGCTCACTACTTCCCTTGGTGATAAGGTGTGTAGCTGTTTCTACATGGAGGGACCGAGGAGTTTCCAGAGACTCACCAGGAAGCCATAAGGTGCACAGGCCTCTCACTGAGCTTATGCAAACAGTCAGTAAATGCCAGGCAAGGGGAGAACGCAGTGAGGTCATCTGCAAGGTGCACAGGGGTCTCCAATGACGCACTCCAATGATTCAGCTGTCCTGAGTCGTCAACCGTACTCCTGTGGCCGTTTTGGTGACACAGCTGTGAGCAACCCAAATAAACTGACTGGTTTACCAACCTAGACTCGGGTGCAATCCTTCCTGTCGTCATCCATCATCATCATCACATGCTTTAGCATTAGAGGCCGGCCCTCGTTATCCACCCCCAATTTCCAGGTCTTCCCTGTCTCCTTCAAGAATGAATAGACTGCACAGCTTGCAAAGTAGCTAGAATATTTTATTCAAAGGAAAACAATAGTACAGATTAGAGAAGGATACACTATCAAGATTGACAGCAACCATGTGACTGAAGGTGCTCAAGGGCCCAGGATATTGATTGGAACTTTTTTCAAGATGGACTAAAGGGGAGTGGAGGATTACCAAGGTTATAGTTGGGTGTTTTTCTATTTTGATTGACAGATTATTATATAACCATTTCTCACTGTGCATGTTTCTTCCCATAATGCACCTGTTAATGATATGCATAATCAATTATACAAAGGCATAAGATGGTAAGTAGGGGATTCTCCCTAAAAGTTCACTTTGGGGACACAGTTTGCCTTACTGCACATGCACCCAAAACCAGTTCAAGCTTGATTGGCCTTTTTACTCTTGTACTGGCTATTATCTGAGTACAAATGAACAGACTCATCTAAGTCTGATGGTTGATAAGGGGAAGGGAACTCTACTGTGTTGTCCAATGTGGCATGCATGTGACTCAATGTAAGCAGTGGTCCTGGGTTGCTAACAGGTCGCTAAGTGCATTGTTCAGAGAGGGCTGTGTGCATAGTAAGTGCAGGCAAGTGTCTCGGGCTGCTGGGTGCATTATTGGGAGAGGGATGTGTACACAGCCCATACGAAGTAGAGTCCTAGGCTGCTAACCTATTCTCTATGCATGCCCCCCCCTCGGTTCGTTGATGTCTCCCCAAGAAAAGTTAAACAGTCCATGGAAATGTCACTCCCATGATGTCACTGCCGCCAACCTCAGAGAAACTTGTAGGTTTGGTCAGGGAGTTGTCCTGGGTGGGTAAAGGCTGATATAGAGAGAGCACATTGATATTATTTTTTATTCTTGAGGCCTAAACTTGACTAGGGATGGGGAAAGACCAATCTTCCCATGGTGCTCAAAGTCACCCGCCTGGTCAGCCTCACAAGCTTTGACAGTATTTCCGGGATTTGTGGAGCTCAAGCAGGACGTAGGAAACACTAGGCCTGGCCCTGATGGCCAGATCCACGGGGTTTCTTCTCTGGTGTCTGGCAAGCGGCCTTTGTTTGCTAGCTGCAGTGTGTTCTGACAAGGCTGCAGTGGTTCTACCCCTCCTCTCCCCAGTGAGGAGCTACTGAGTGTTTGGGGCTGAACTTTCATGCTCTGTGGTCCCTGCCCTAGGCCTGGTAAGTCTGTGTAGCTTCCACCTTGGCCCGGGCCTGCACCCCTCTGCCTCTGCTCCTTCCTCCAGGGCCTACCCCAGCTCCTCCCTGGCCCTGCTAAGCACAGTTCTCCCTTCTGCCATGTTCTCTCTAGTTGACCTTGCTCTCCCTGCCACATCCTGTCTCTGCTCCTACCCCCACCCAGCCACCCCAGAGATGCTCACTGGGCCTTATCTACCCTTGTTCCTTTTCACCTGACTAATCACTGGTGACATCTCTCCCTGGCAGGAAGCCACTGGGGTACAAAGAAATGATTCCCATCCATCGTTAAGTTACCTTAACAAATGTTTACTGAGCATCCACCACATGGCAGGCTCCAAGCTGGTGCAAGGCAGCCCAAGAGACAGAATCTAACTCTTACCAGCTGACAAACCAGCAGTGATGGATGGCGATAAACATGATTAAACACAAGGAAAGGGTAGATGTGGTTTCAAACTGTTTTCAACACGAGCAGGAATTGACAGCCACACTGGAACTTGAGAGGAGAAGGTGCCTGGTGGCCAGAGCCCTGTTGGCTTCTCCCCCCACTGAACCCCACTTCTATGTTTGAGGGGCTGCAGCACGTGCAAAGGCCCTGGGGTAAAACAAGGTAGTTTTTTAGGCAACTAATGGATAAACAGTGTGAGTACAAGAGTGTGGCAGGAGATGAAATTTTGAACTGGACACATCCAAGTTATACTGATTTCTCCACGAAACTGCTGTCTTCACATCCCAAAGACTGTTCTTCCACTGCTCTGGGTTCCCATCCTTGCAGTTAGCCCTGACCCCCTCCTGGGCTCCAGAGCCAGTCTTTAGCAAGTCCAGCCAGCCCCACTGCCCTCTGGGGTCAGACCGCGTTCCTCGCCTACATGGTGGCCGCCCTAGCCCAAGCCCCACCCCACCCTCTTCACCTGTGAAAACATGGCAGCTCGCGGGGATGGTCCCTACCTTCTTCCACGTACAGCTCAAGTGTGCCCTGTGACCCCAGGGCCCTCAGGCGCTCGGACTCTCTCGCACACCCTTCCCTCCCTCTGCCGCAGAAGCACCTCGCTCTGCTGACATGTTGAGTACACTCTCACCTCAAGCCTTTGCCCTGGGCCTCCTCTGCCACCTCCCCTGGCTCACACACGCCATGTGTCTTCCTGTCTCAAAGTCCTTTCTGTCTACTGAAAGTCATCTTGATGCGGAGACCTCACACCACCCAGCTCCCTCCTCTCCTCTCCTTATCTACGCGGGACACTTCCTATTCCTCTCCATTGCGGTGTGACAATTATTCGTCACCACCTACTCGGTTCTGTTTGCTGCTCTGTCGCCAGCACCTGGCTGGGTGCCTGGAGTGTGGGGGCCAGACTGCTGAGAAGATTGCCGCTTGAGTTAAGCAGTCCAAAGTTTTAGTCCAGAAGCAGGAAGAACCACTGAAAGTTTAGCATCGCTGAGATCTGCTTTGTGGTTTGTGTCTAGGATGGATGGAGGAAAATGGTGCGAAGGTTGCTAAGAAGGCATCTAAGAGTCATCCATGGAGAAGCTGGTGACCAGGCTGGTGTGGCCCATCCCTTGTGATTGGCCTTCAGACAAGTTGAGCACTGAGAAAGGACCACTGTGCTGACTGACTCTTGATGACAGTAGGTGTTTACTTCTTGAAGATGAGAATCTGAAATGAACTGCCCACGTCTCCCTACAGGAGGACTAAGAGCCATGCTGCTAGCATGTGTGGCTCTCTGCCAGCCCGCTCCTCACACTCACACTCTCAGGGGTCCCCTCTCCTCACACTCACACTCTCAGGGGTCCCCACTCCTCACACTCACACTCTCAGGGGTCCCCACTCCTCACACTCACACTCTCAGGGGTCCCTACTCCTCATACTCACACTCTCAGGGGACCCCACTCCTCACATTCACATTCTCCAGGTGTCCCTGCTCCTTACACTCACACTCTCCAGGTGTCTAGCACCGAGGCGGCATGGAATCTCTCAAAAGGATGCTGAGACCAGGTATGGAGCGGGAAGTTTCTACCAGAAAGGAATACCTGTTGTTGGTTTTTTGCGGCGCTCTTACCCTGCGAGGAAAAGTCACAAAACACGACAGAATCCACTGACAAGAGTTTTATTAAGATAAGGGAGAGGGACAGATGTGCTTATAAAGGCTGGGCTGTGCCTGCGCACAGGCCCATGTGGCCATTCTAAGCATGTGTGTAGATCACATGGTTGTGTTCATGCAATCACGTAAAGCCACGGTCCTGGGTCATGTGAGACATTTGACCTGGAAATGACGAGGCAGAAGTGACTAGGTCCCACCGGGCATGCACGACCATGCCCAACCGTGGGGGCGTGTTATGAATTCATATCACCTGTGACAGGAAGCGGGGTCGAAGCAAGGCTGTGGGAGGAGGAGCTGAGTTCCAATGGAGGGGTAGCTGGGAGTTCCACATCCAGATCTATAGGGGGTAGGAAGAGAGAGAGACACTGGGCCTGGCTTGAGCATCTGAAACCTCAAAGCCCACCCCCAGTGACACACTTCCTCCAGCAAGGCCACCTCTCCTCCAATAAGGCCACACACTCCCTATGGGGCTATGGGGGTTGTTTTCAGTCAAACCACCTCACTGGGGAATGTGGAAATAGGCTAGTGACTGCAGCTAAGGCCAGTCCCAGAGACATCAATAGCTAGATGTTGTCATTAGAAATACTAATCAAAGCCTGGGCCTTGGTAGCCCCAACATCTAGGCAAGGCAACCTCTCAGTCCTCAGTAGGTATGCAAGACTTAAGAAAACAGGAAGATATATTCAATATTGCCACCCGGTGAAAGGAGCAGAGAGGTCCAGGGGCTGCATCCTCCCCCAGGCTGTGAGGCTTAGTTTTAAATTGAAGGCAAGAGGCACGTACAACCAAGCATTTCTCCTAAAGTAAGGCTCTGCCCATCACTGCCCAGCATTGCCTTGGCTCTAGGCTCTCTGGAATGCTTGTCTGGCAAGTTGTCAGAACTGTGTGAAATCTCTTTCTGGAGACACGTCCTCCTGGGGATGGCACCAGGTGACAGCTTTTTCCTTCTACCGTGTGAGGTTCCTGGGGAAATTCCAGCTCCTTGGGACCTATTGTCTCAATTGTCAGCCAACAGAAGGGGACCAGAGGTCTCTTTAGAATGCCTTCACTCCGCAGCAGTCAGGGGCGAATTCTTTCTTTGGAGGAATTTACCAAGACCTGGCTTCCAGGGACTATCCGCTCCTCCTAGGTCTGGGAACCACCCTGTGTAAGCATGCCCTTCCTCGGGTGACAGCATCTCTGCAAGCTGCAGAGAAGAGCTACGGCGAACCTGCATGTGAGATACCGGTCAGACATCCTCTCAGCATCTTCTGTGTTGGGAGATGAGCTTTGGGGCTCTCCTGATGGATGCCCCACCCTGTTTCGGCCACAAGCCAGCTCACAGCCACGTGAGAAGAAACAAGCTTCCTGAGTCCTGCGCTTTGTGCCTGTCGGTCAGCAGGTGTTGGTGAATGGTTACCACCCTATCTATACCTTTGTTCCTCACAGGCCATGGTAGTTGTGAGCCGCTGGGGCAGGGGCTGTTATTCACACCCGCAGAGGTGTTTGCACAATTTTAGCACTTATAGGAGGTTAATTTATCTGACCATGGCCACCAGTCTGTGAGCAATGCTGGTTCATGGCTGAAAACTCAGGTGCAGCCGGAGCTGGCATCCAGCACATCAATGCAGAGACGAAGCCAACCCTAACACACCGGGGTCTCAGTGTCACCCTGACAACCCACTCATCACACCCTCTGGAGTAAGTACCAATTTTCCTTTGACTTCGGCCCCCTTTCCTGGGATCTCTGAGCTGGATGACTGCTTGCAGGGGGTAGGCGGGGTTTAAGTATTTGCCAGAGCTCCCTCATTCAGTGGCAAGCCAGGGCCAGCCTAGCACGCCTGAGTTCCCCGCTGTCCTTCTCTGGCCCCTGTGAAGATTTTGTTTTTTTTTTTCTCTAAAACTCCCAAGAATGACACAATACTGTCACTTTCCCTGTTGCTGCAGTCACACATGGGACAGGAAGTATTTGAGGGAGAGAAAAGCTTCCTCTGGCTTACAGTTTTAAAGGATACAGTCCCTCCTGTTGGAGAGACCACAGCAGGAGGTCAGGTGGTCACTGTGCAACTGTAGTCAGGTGACCAGGAAGCAGATTGTGAACAGGAAGTGAGGCTGGGCATAAAACCCCAAGGCCTGCTGCTGGTCACCCACTTCCTCCAGCCAGCTCCACCTCCTCAAAGTTCCACAAATTCCCAAGACAGCACTCCCAGCTGGACACCAGCCTTCCAAACAAGCGCACATGAGGGACACCTCACTTTGAACCTCAGTGGAAATCAGAGTTCTGGTGAGACTTTGTCAAGATTCTAGGTTTGGACATTTCAGCAAATTGCCCAAGCCCTCTGCTTAGTTCCTGGTAAAATACAGTAAATACTTTCTGTGTATATACGAAGCCCTGGAGTTCAACCCTTGTGTGGGCTTGAGGAGCCTATGTGACTTCTGAGAGCTTGGCTTTCCCCATCTGTGACATTTCCCTCACAGGTCAGAGGAGGCACCTGCTCAGTAGTGTGTGACTGCTCCCTCACACCAGGCGTTCAGTCCTGGTGTCTGCTTCTTCTAGCCCTGGGAACTGGCCTGCACTCTAGTGAAGGAGAAGGTTTCTGAGGCACTGGGTTGCGGCTGGGAAGGCTAGCAGGATGGTAGACATCTGAGTGAACAATCACATGCCCCAAGAGGAACTGAGACAGAACTGGAACCCTTGAACAGTGACCCAAATGACAGCCATGCTCCTCTCCACCCTCCCCTTGTGTTTCCTTTGCCCTCACGTGGCTAAGACTGGGAACAAGCAAAGACCTCCACCATGTCCTCCTTGTGCAGGAGAGTTTGGCTGTATCCCAAACACAAGGCAAAAAGCACCTGGATGGCTATCCCAGGCAAGAAAGGGAAAGGGAATTGAGACACATAAACTACTGAGCCTGACTAGAGATGGGAACATCAGTCTGTCGTCCACTGTGGAATACTTCACATCTAAGATAGGCTGGTCTGTAGACAGTGTTCAGCATGGGAGGGGTGGGAGATGAGGGAACAGCCACGTGCCACCCTGGATGAACTGCAGGCGAGGAGAGTGAGGGCTGTGTCAGGCGGTGGCTCCAGTCCAAGGCAGTGTTTCCTTCCGGCCTCGTGTGCACTTTCTGGGGAGGCCAGAACACATCTGTGAAACAGCTGGCACTGGGTGTTGTCGTCGTCAGAACTCTGCCGCCGTGGCCACCACAGCCACTGTTTGTCTTTGCATGGACAGTGGCAAGGCCAGTACCTTCCTGGTCCCTGCTGCTCTGTCAGAGCCATCCTTCTCCATCTGTGCCCACTGTTTTTGGTTCTCTCAAAGGTCAGAAAATCTGAGAGAGAACGGTGTGCTAGGCAGCGTGAGGAATTGTTCAAGGTCCACCAAGGGCATCCTAGAGATGGGGACAGATGCAGGTAGTGAGGGAATTGGCTTGATTCTGGCCCTCGCCCTTAGGCCCTCTCCTCAGCAGCAGCTAGCTTTTAAACCTTCCACTGTGTGAGCACACAGCCTTCTTCCATGTCAGAGGATGCAGGACCAAGGTGCCATCTTGGAGGCAGAGACCAGTCTTTTCCAAAGAAACCTAATCGGCCATGCCTGGATTCTGCTCTTCCAAGCCTCTAGAACTGCAGGAAAGCAAATGCTTCTCCCTTAAGAATTACCCATCTTGTGTATTTTGTTATAGCAGCACCAAACAGACAGGAACAAAGCAGCATGTAGCAGATTGGAGAGACACTGAGAAACCTGGTCTGCCATCCACCTGGGATTTCACGGAGGGGACCTGGGGGCACCAGTACTAGCTGTGGGTGGCACGATTTGTCGGGGACTCTGGACACATATCCAGCCTTCATACTCTCCCCAGAGTTTCTTGTGTGTCTTGTCGTCATGATGGATGGGACACACTGCAGGCCGAGAGGGAAGACCAAAGAGGAATGGGTGCTTCTAACTTCCCTCACGCCATATCTCCTTGGCACAGCCCAAGATCAACACATTTCTGTTTCTTTCTGTTGTATGGGATGAGTTTAAACTCAGAAGGAGGGCTTTCTGACTGAACCCAATGTCAGCCTTTGACCTTCAGACCAGGAGGCACTGTGGTGATGGGAGAGGGCTCCAGGGACTGGTGGTGTGTTTATTACTTATATAACAGAATCTAATCAAACAATTCACATAATTACTACTGTTCTCTAGGTGCTGGGACTATGGACTGACCAACAGGCCCCCAAACACAGAGATAAAGAACAATGGTTGGACCATTGGTTTACAACCATGGTTGTAAAGATAATGATAGTATCAATTAACAGTCAAGATATAAGATTATGGACGTGGCTGACTCTAGTTTGGGCCAGCTCAGGGCTCCAAGACAGATGCAAGGGGAAATGGGTGACAGTGGCCAGAAGCAAACCAGTGATTCTCTCTCAGGGAAGCATCACCAGATTACCATTAGCTAGTAAACTGTTAACTTAGTAAACTTTTCAAATTTGGAGTGCTTAAATTCCTATGCATATGCTTACATATTATATATCTTCTTATACAGATTAAATTTGGGGTAAAATGGGCTTCTGAGGAAAGCTCTCCCCTTTGCTAGAAGTGTCTGTCCAGAGGAAGCACAGTGGAGGGAAAACCTAAGCCTTGTGCTGAGAGCAAGACATTGCTTTTCCTGGCCCACTGTATTCCTGCTTCCTTGAGTATTCTAATTGAACATCTTTTTAAAATAAACATTTATTTATCGGTGTATGGGCATGTGTGCATGAACTGTGGCCTGTAAGTGGAGACAAAGAACCACTTGCAAGAGTCAGTTCTCTCCGGGGATAGAACTCAGGTTGTCAGGCTTGTTCAGCAAGCGCCTTTACCTGCTGGTCTGTGTCATCTCCATCCCTACCCCCACCCCAGATCCCTCCCCTCACCCTAACCCCACCTAATTACATTCTTGACTGACTACTTGGTCCACTACTATAGCCAGTCTGACTCCTCCTCTTTCTGGATCATAAGTACCAAGACTGGGGTCAAGACCTGGAGGAATTCAGAGGCCTAAGAATAGGGTGGGGTAGGGGGTGGGGTGGGGCAGATAGCAACTTGACAGATGCCAGAAAAAGTTACTGTTGGTAACTGGCTATGTGGGACTAATGCCCAAACCTCTTCGGATCTTTTCTCTGGTTACAGTGTCATGTTCAGGCTACTATACTGCAAAACAATGGAATGCAAGAAGGAGGAGGAGGAGGAGGAGGAGGAGGAAGCAGAGCTGGATCGGGGACAGGGATCCGGGAGATGGGGCTGGCTCAGCCAGGCACATCTGAGAGCAGAGAATGAACAATGCGAATTACAACTTAGAAACCAGGAGAGGGGACTTGACACATTCCATTCTTCTAGTTCTTGTCAAAGTGTGACCTTGTCCTCTCCATGATATCTCTGTTCCTCCTCCCTAGCCACCTGGGTGAGAGTGGAAGTTGGATAGAAGGAGACATATTTGAAAACCTTATCTGTTCCTAAGGTCAACCCAAGGTGGTATTTCTCAACAGGAAGACATGGAGCTATTTTTTGAAATTGCACAGCAGTGCCGGTAGGTGCTGTGGTTTCTGGCAGCATCTTGAGCTCAGGCAGGCTGCTTTCTGGGACAGTGACACTTCAAATGTCATGCTAGATAGATGGGAAGGAAACAAGCCTGGGCATGGCTCCTGGACTTCCTTCACCCATCCCTCTAAGCATGTCAAAGGCCTCATTTCAGGCATGTAGACTAGGAACCGTATCTTTCTGTTAAGTGTCTGCCCCAGAACACCTACCCTGACCAAATGCACAGGGTGCAGTGCAGATCAGATGATATTATGTTCTAGAAATCTGGAACCCAGGACCTGGTCTCTGTGCCCATTGCAGACACAACCTCTCACGGGCTATATAACCTTTCCCAGATTGCTTTGCTCAGAGGCAAAGTAATGATTCAGGGGTTCCACTTAGTTCTTTGTGATTATATTTATGTAGCACTTTTGGCTCTCTCATAGTAGGGGAATAAAAGCATCTTAATATGAACCACAAAAGTAACGATTATAAAACCTTATCTGATAACAGATGGAAAATAGGAAGATTTGGCTGACTGTCAATGAGGGTTCTTCCCAGCTCCTTTGAGGCAGCCCACAGCAGTAATAATATCAGGACTCTAAAGACATATGCTAACGGTTATAGCTTCTCTCCATGGACAAAATCCATGCTGGCTCTGGGGATATCTGCAAGATGACTATTCTTAATTTATAGATATTCCCTTTCCACTCTAAGGGGTCTTCAAGATAACAGAAGGGGCAGGAGTTTGATAAAGCCACCATGAGCTCCTGACAGAGTTCCGTGATGCTACCGAACAGCCTGGTATTTCCCAACCTTAGGCAGAGGGCTGGAGGAGGACAGTGCTCAACCAGTACACCCAAGGGTCTGTTGGCTCAGCTAGCAACCACCCAGTCACTGAAGAAGGGATGAGATGGCCATGGATCTCCCCAGCAAGAACAGGCTTCTACAGTCCTAGAAGACACATCCTAGGCCTGACTGGGCTCCTGGGAATTTCGAAGACTGATTCCCAGGGACATTCTAATGGGTTTCAAGAGTTCTAGAGAAGTTCCAGATCTAGGACACCGTGGTGGGGTTGGGAGAAGGTTAGAGAGTGAGGCAGAGCCCGGGGTGGGGGTGGGGTGGCACAGGACTGCCACTGTTGAGAGTCCATGATTCTTCCGGAGAACAAGATGCTTGTCTTTGTGACAAAGTAAGGCGTGGGTGCTGAGCACAGCTAAGGAATCTCCAGCACTGTTCAGCGGCACCAGTACACTGGCTTCCAGGCATCTTTCGGAAGTAGAGGATGATGTCTCTCCTGGCTTTGAACCAAGTCTCCTTCGGCAGCTTTTCTCATTGTACAAGACAATGCTGTTTTGTCTACAGTTCTGCTCACACAGTGCATCTCAGGTCACAGCACTTGGTGAACATCACAAATGACCCCATGCACACGGAGCACCATGTCAAATAGTCTGTGTCAGACACTAAGGGTAGATTAGCAGCACAGAACACATAACATGGCAAGAGCTTCTTGTGTACTTCCTATGCACCAAGCTCTGCCCTAAGCCCTGGACATCAAATCCTCACACCCATCTTAGGCAGGCTTAATGTCGCCTCTTCTTTACAAGGGAGAAAATAAGGTCAGCTTACCTAAAATGACACAGCTCCCAACTGCAGAGCCACGCCTTCTAATCCACGATGTTTAAATGGTTACTTTGTTGCATTAGACCACGGAGGAGGGTACACACAGGCAGATAACATCATGTTTAGGTGCTGTGAAAAGATGGTATAGGGGCTCTAAGAACTGGGAGAATGCATGCGAGGATAACAGCCAGACCCAAGAGGATGTGTGGTTAGAGCTAAGACAGGATGCACCCATTTACACATTAGCTTGTCCGGTGGGGTTTGGGCTACAGCAGAGGCAAGTAAGTGCAGGAGTCTCACTGTGGGGGAGAGTTTGGCAGGTTTACACCCAAGGAATAGGAGGAATTCAGTGTGACTGATCACCCATTAAAGCCAGAAATACAGATAAGGTTTTGTAGGGTCATTCCTATTCAATAAATAGGCTTGAACCTACATCACATCGGGCATTATACTAAACCCTGGCACATATTTGTGAACTGATGTAAACACAGCCTTTGCCCTTGTGGATCTTGTATTCTATGAGATGAGAAGTTGCCTCCCTGTCTCTCCTGACATGTTCTCTCAGTGTCACACTGCAGTGTCCAACAGCATTCCTCAAGAATGAGCCAGGTGTCTAGAGCAATGTACCTGTGTTTGGCTTTGCCCTCCCCAGTAGTTACAAAATCAGAGGGCCATTAGATTGTTAAAAAGATAACATCAATAATTAACTTTGTCATCCTGTAGAACGTTAGCAAATTCTGTCTGTCCCACTGTGTCTATTTCCTATTGTTATCACGAGTTTAATAACTGAAGCCAACAGCAATCATACAGTTCTGGACATCAGAAGTCTGGTGCAGGTCCAAGCAGGCTAAAATTAAGGTGTCTTGTGTCTTTCTGGAAATTCTAGAAAGAAATCTACTTCCCAGTATTCTAATTGAAAAAAAAAATCATTTTCTTACAGGTATATGACCATGGTCCTTTGTTCTGGCTTGGTGAAAGTTGGTGGCCACCATGATTCTTGGCTGCTGGTCCCCCCCTCCATCTTTGGAGCAGGCACCAGTAGGTCTGAATGGTCCCCCTCCATCTTCACATCAGGCACCAGTAGGTCAGAATGGTCCCCCCTCCATCTTCACAGCAGGCACCAGTAGGTCAGAATGGTCCCCCCTCCATCTTCACAGTAGGCACCAGTAGGTCAGCATTGTTCTGATCTACCCCTGCCTTCCTTTCCCACTTAAGAAGACTTGTATGGTCCAACTGATCATGCTCAAACGATCCAAGACCCTTTTTATTATAGGATCCTCAGCCAAGAAAATCTGCAAAGTAATTTTGCTGCGAACCTGCGAGGTACCTGGCTCTAGGGATGAGGGCACTGACATCTTTGGTGGTCACTTTTCAGCCTTCCTCAGTATGTAACAACCACTATAGTTCAGAATGCATGTCTTTGTAAACTAAATAGCTCCATTTCCTTGAAATGGAAACTGACCAGAAATAAAGTAGCGAGCATCAGGATAAGGTGACTCCTCCTGGAAACACGTTCATTTCTCTAAGTAGATTGACAATCTGACAGCTTCCCAGATTGATGACTCAGTTAGTCCTTGACAAAGACTCACTCTGTATCTGTGTGTTTTTAACTTTAGAGGGCTGAAGTCGTTACAGTTGTCAGTTTGGAGGCTTCAGTGAAACCTGTCTGCACCAATTAAAATGTGCTCAAGGAAGTGCATTGTGTGTCTGCTGCAGCTGACACAGCTATTTTGGCTCCTGGCCTGGATCCCAAATCAGACTCTCTCCAGCGTCTCTGCTTTCTCTCTCCATCTTCCTCTTGCTTCCACCTCCCACCTCTGTTTTTATTTGGATCCAGCTTCAGTTCTGGTCTTTGTTTACAGCTGATCAATAACTTACCTTCTGTAGGGCTACAGTGGCTGGGACTCATCTGGCAATCCCAGATGAGATGAGAACGTCTCTTCCCTTGGAAATGGTCACGAGTCTAGATTGTTGGCAGTTTCAGTTCATCTGCTTGACTTCTTACCTCCAGGACTGTGTGATCATCTGTGACACAAAGCATAGCCTTTCAGATGTGGGCAGTAAGTGTGCACAGCTCCTGTCTGTTCTTCTTCTCTGAGTCTCTAGGAGGGAAGCTGCAAGGTTGTACAACATGCATTGCGTGATCAAGGCAAACTGTGTGTGTGTGTGTGTGTGTGTGTGTGTGTGTGTGTGTGTGTGTATGTGTGAGTACATGTATGGATGAGTGTATGTCTGTGCATGTGTCTGTGATGTGTGTATGAGGGTGTATATGTGTGTGTGTAAGAGAGAGACAGAGACAGAGAGAGAGACAGAGAGAGAGAGACAGAGAGAGAGACAGAGAGAGAGAGAGAGGAGAGAGAGAGAGAGAGAGAGAGAAGAAGAAGAAGGAGAAGGAGAAGGAGAAGGAGAAGGAGAAGGAGAAGGAGAAGGAGAAGAAGAAGAAGGAGAAGAAGAAGGGCTTTTCCTGGAAGGCATTAATAAATTAGAATATGATATCTCTTAATTAATTGGCTCATAGAGATTTTAAGTACCTACATTAATCTAATATTCCTAGAATTCCCCTCAAATTAAAGAAACTACTCTTCTAATATATTAAATGATCCAGATTTAGAAAATCCTGGTGTTTGTTAAGGAATCACAGTAAATACAAACAGAGTGAACCACATCAGGCAGGTTTAATAACTTTTGATGTAACAATGGTTATGTGTAATTTGTGGGGTTCTCAATGGGGAGTATAATACATTTTGGGGGGCGTTTCAAGACAGGGTTTCTCTGTGTAGCTTTGGCTATCCTGGAACTCATTCTGTAGACCAGGCTAGCCTTGAACTCACAGAGATCTGCCTACCTCTGTCTCCCAAGTGCTGGGATTAATGAAGTGTGCCACCACCACCTGGCCGATAATACAACATTTTTTAAAGTAAGGTTTGATTTCTTTTTCTTGAAGAGACTAATCTGAATTTCTTAAACTTTTTAATAATTACCAGATTAGCTAATATTGTTCCTATGTTATATTTAGGATCAAGGAATGTAAAATTTTCAACTAAATTGAGTTATTCTAAAATAAATTGAGCTGCATAATACTGACAACCTTTTATATCAATTTTGTTTGCTGAATGCCTGCTTGAATGTAGCTTTCGACATTCATAGTTAACTTTTAAACCATATGCCAATTTAAAATCAAATTAATTAATGGACAATCTTTGGTTACCTGGGTAATTTCTAAGTAAAATTGAATATAAAAATCTTGGTTGCTGATCATGGTCTGAGTATCTAAGTAACTATGATTATATGTCTTTCTGTGTTACACAGTGGCCATACCTTTGGGTCCTATGGGAAAAAAAAGTTCCTTTTTGCTACATGGAGAAAGTGTTGAAGACACACTAATGACTGTTGGGAGTCATAGTCTACAATCCTCTGAGCTTCGGGGTCTGCTTGAATGCTAGCATTTGATGGGGAATTTTCAACTCCCTTTCCCCTTCCCATTCCCCCCCCTCTTTCTTCTCTTTTTCCTTCCCTCTTTCCTTCCCTTCCTCCTTCCTTTCCTCCATTCCTTCCTCCCTCCTTCCCTTGCTCCTTCCCTTCCTCCCTCCTTTATTTCCTCCTTCCCGTCTTCCCCACTCTTGCTTTAAGATGGAACTCATTTGCAGGTTTTAAGAAAGTTGGACTACAACGTGGCTTAACAGCAAACACCCCTGAGTTTAAGAAACAGAAGAACATGCGAATCTGTACTTTAGGGTCTGATGTTATAAAAATGAGACTTGGAGCTCCCTGTTAAAATGATAAATGGATCCAGATGTGGTGGTTCATATCTGTAATACCAGCACTCAGAACACTGAGGCAGGAGGATCACTAACAGTTAATGGCTAGCCTGGACTACATAGTAAGATCCAGACCAGGCTAGGCTAAGAGAGAGACCATATATGTGCTTATGTATCGATCACATGGTAACTTGATCTGAAGGCATTTAGGGTTCTTATGGGAGCAAGACAAGGCTATTTTGCGCATCTGTTTATCTGCTAGATGGTAAGAATTTCGGTTCTCACCGGAACATTTTTCTGTGCTTCATGACTTTATCATGCCCTTGATTACTAATGAGCTAAGGTTCTAGGAATTTCTGCTGCCTTCTTCAATAGTCATCAAATATGGCACAGTCAGTCTAATTGGCAGGCAAGCTATTGCTACAGTCATGAGTGCACAGATCTCTCCTAAGTCATCACTTAGCCATCCTGAAATCAGAGCAGAATTTATAGGGAAAAAGTCAGGGTACCTTTCACATCTAAGAATCTTTTGATGTCTCAAAGTTACCATGGGAATTCACAAATATTTGTTTTGTAATCTTAGAGATAAAGAAAATCTAGAAAGAATTAGGTCTGCTTTGGGTATTTGTAAGTTGATTTGATGTTGTTATAAATGCTGAATAACAAAAACTTACTTGTCAAATAAAAGAGTAAGTGTATGTGGGTAAAATATCAACAGTGTTTAAGAAGGAATAATCTTCACAGAAGATATTGGGAGATCCCAGACATTTTTTAATACTTTCACTGACCAAAATGTGTCCCTGCTCAAGACAGAACATCAATTAGATTCTTAGAAAATGAATATTGGACCTCAACAGATAATCTAGCCCCCCTCTATTTTGATTTTATTGTCATGTTTTGCTTTCTGTTGTTGTGATAAAATACCATGACCAAAGGCAACTTGAGGAGGGAAGGGTTCATTTAGCCTACAGGTTACAGTCCATCATCAGGGGAAGCCAAAAGGACACTCAAGAGAACCCTTGGTGCTGTGGGATGTTCTGTATGTCCTGTGGGAGCCTGTTCTTGGGTTCCTCGTGGCTTTACCCAGTAGGTCCACATAGAAGATAATTAGGACCACAGAACGTGAGTGCAGGTGTCTGAGATGGTTTGCACTTGGCTGTGGTTTGCACTTGGGATGGTCTGTATGGCAAATGTGTTGCTCTGATTGGTCAATAAAGAAAACCTGATTGGCCGTGGCTAGGCAGGAAGTATAGGCGGGACTAACAGAGAGGAGAAATGAAAGAACAGGAAGGTAGGAGTGACTGCCTGCCTGCAGCCGACGCCAGGACAAGGAAGATGTAAAGTACCGGTAAGCCACGAGCCACGTGGCAAGGTATAGATTTATGGAAATGGATTAATTTAAGCTATAAGAACAGTTAGTAAGAAGCTTGTCCATGGCCATACAGTTTGAAGCAATATAAGTCTCTGTGTTTACTTGGTTGGGTCTGAGCGGCTGTGGGACTGGCAGGTGACAAAGATTTGTCCTGACTGTGGGCAAGGCAGGAAAACTCTAGCTACACCTTGGTATAGAGGCCAGAAGAATGCTGCTCAGTGGCTTGCTCCTTGGCTTGCTAATCCTGCTTTCTTATACAATCCAGGACCACCTGTCCAAGGATGGCACTCCCTCCCACATCAATAATTTATTAAGAAGATGCCCCATAGACTTGCCTAGAGGCCAATCTGATGGAGACATTTTCTCAATTAAGTTTCTCTTCCCAGATGACTCCAGGTCAGTGATTCTCAATCTTCCTAATGCCGGGACACTTTAATACAGTTCCTTATGTTGTGGCGGCCCCAACCATAAAATTATTTTCATTGCCACTTCATAATTGTAATTTTGCTACTGTTATGAATCATAATATCAATACCTGATATGCAGAATATCAGATATGCAACTCCAAAGGGGGTCTCGACCCACAGTTTGAGAACCTCCTGCTGTGTCAAATTGATTAAAAAAAAAAACTAACCAGGACAATTATTCACTGCAAATAGTGACCCAGCGTCATACACTTCTTCCTCTAGATGATTTCACTGTCCTCTGAGCTTTCATGAAGTCCACAGACCTCCAGGAACTTCAGGGAGGAAGCACAGGCTTGAGTTTCTAGAAAAGGATGACCCCAGGTACCAGTGATGACTGAAGCTTCGCACCCACCTTCCTAGTGTGAGCTTCAGAGAGTAAGACCACCTTCATTTAGACTGTGCCAGGGACTGGTCAGAACTTGAAGGGTTCTTTAGTCTAGACAATGTTTCTCAACCTTCCTAATGCTGTGACCCTTTAATACAGTTCCTCACCTTGTGGTGGCCCCCAACCATAACATTATTTCATTGCTACTTCATAACTGTAATTTTGCTACTGCTATGAATCATAATGTAAATATCTGATATGCAGGATATTTGACATGTGACCCACAGGTTGGGAACTGCTGGTCTAGAAACAGTTCCATGGAAGCAGCTTCTATCCATGGCTTAGTGGGGTAAAAGTCACCATAGAGGACAGAGCTTATGGACAGGAGAAAGCTAATTGTAGCTCTGTGTATTTGTCAACACCCTGTTTCAGGTGGATGTGTGAAGAAGTACAATCTGCTATGGAACCCTAAAGCACAAGGCTTGTGATGGTACCTGAGTCACCAGCATCCCAGAACCTGAAGGCTCATGATTTTACTTAGATAGATGCTCCACTTTGCACAATGGTGCAGTTATTTGCAAAGGTTTAGTGGAAATTCCATCCTATTTGTTCTGAGATTGACATTTACCAGTCACCTGTGCAGCTAAGGCCCTATCTGAACAGTCATGAGGACTGGCTGCCTTCAAGCTATGAGAAGCCATGCTTGGGCGAGCCATGGTTAGTATGTGGGCTCAGTGTTTACAGAGACTGGAGGCCATAGAACCCGGGCATCTCTAGACAATAAAGTTCCTATCAACAGGCATTGCCTGTGGCATCAGTTGGGCACTCAGGGATTTGACTTCTAGCTTTGGGATTAGATGATCAAATAATGGAGTCTGTAAAACCCAGCCTCAGACACCTCAATGAAATTTTCAGACAGAAGTCAAGTCTCTGGCCTTGAGAGTTTCTCAGTCTGCACGCTGAAGGGTAATTTTATGGTGACTTAAAACCACTTTTGAAAATAATCAGACTAATACAGAATGAGACCAGCCATTTTCCATGACTGAGAATGGTCTATGAAGATTATCTATGATCCAAAACAGGAGGACTGTTAGCAAAATAAT